TGAACCATATTTTGTTAAATAAACTTCAAACAAATTTTGAAAAACTTTGTTAAATTTTGAAACTTCCTTTGATGCACAATCCATGTCATCATCCATTAAACCCAAATCGTAACAAATATTTTCAATTAAAGTCTCAACCCCCCCCCCCCCCCCAAACATTTAGAGTCGAATTCAAAGCGGAGGAACAAGTAATAATGGGAGGCATTTCTTGAAAATATTTTTTCAACTTTGCTTTCATCGGTTTCATCATATTAGCAAACATTGTACTCCTCATTTCAAACTCATTTATTTTTGCACACATTAAAAAAAATTGGTTTAAAACTTAACAACTTGCAGGATAATAAACACTCGATAAAAGAGTAGTTGCTTTTTTAAAATCATCAAACATGTCCGTAACAAGTTTGATAGTATCCCAACTTGATTCCGGATAAGTCGTAACCTTATTACGGTCCGCAAGGTTGTCATGGAACATTTTTAAAGTATCTTTTTGACGTAAGGCACATTCAAACATTTTGCAAGTGGAGTTCCATCGGGTATTGTTTTCCTAATTCGGACCTAAAAAGAGGCATTCGCATCGACACAAAATTGCATATAATTATGATATCGAGTGTTACTAGAACTAAAAATATCTTTTAGTATGTCTTTGAAACCATCTTTTATAGTTTCAATGCTAGTTAGTCCATCTTGCACAACCAAATTAATGATATGTGCAACACATCGACTATGAAAAAAAAAACACCATCGCAAATTGGTTTATATTTTAGTTTTACTTGTCCAACCGCGGCGTTGTTGTTTGAAGCATTATCAAAAGATATAGAAAAAACCTTTCTTCAAGTTTATAAGTTTTGATCACACAATCTAAAATTTTAAATAAATTTCTACCGGTGTGCGGGTATTCAAACAATTCAAACATAATCGTACGCTTCATCATTACCCAATTAGTTGGATTACTCCAATGAGCGGTAACGCAAAGGTACGCATCCGCTGAACCGTGAGCAGCTGTCCAAACATCACAAGTTAAATTCACACCGGTTTCTAAAGATTGAAATCCTAAAATCAATTCATTTTTTGCAAGTTTCCACATTTCAATACAATCACGTCTAATAGAAGTACGACTCACATGGCAATATTATGGTTGAAGAGTATCTTGGATAAGTGAAGTGGTCAAAAGGCAAGCATTCTTGAATCACGAACTTCGCCATCCTATCCCAAACTTTAGCCATATCGTAATTCCACAATGCTGCGTCATTCACCATTGTTGTTTGATTATGTCCCGGCGCAAATTTCACCACGAGGCATCTTTTGGTCATATGAGTTTTCAATGTCGAATTCCCTTCTTCATTAAAAAAAGCACCACATTTCTTGCATCGCGCTTTTTTTGTACCATTCGACATTACACACAAATTATAGTTGCACCAAATAGCCGGATTTCTATTTGTTTCTTTGATGCTAACAACAGTAACATTGCTTGATGAATCTCCAACACCAATGGAAGCCGAATCCATTGTTTGAATTAAGAGCGGTTTTTGAACTAAGAGATGTTTGCGGTTTTTGAACTAAGAGAGGTTTTTTTGAGGTTTGGTTAAGGTAATTTTGAGACCTAAACATGTAATACATATATATACTATAAGGAATGGTTAATATGGTCAAAAAGTAGCTAAAATCTAGTCTTGAGCAGCCTCAAACGACTATATAGCCGTTAGGAAAAGACGAAACAATGGTAACAATAAAAAAACCGGTTCATCAACGGTTCGGTTCGCAAACCGGTTCAAATCCGATTCATACACCGGTTCATGGCTAAACTGGTTCCAAACCGGTCTCGTGAGTAAAAAAATACAATCCGGTTGCACTTGACGGTTCAGTTCACAATGGGTTCGGTTCAAAGGTGAACCGTTTTAGGGCTAAACCGGTTTCCGGTCCACCAACCGGTTCGGTTCCTAAACCGTTTTTTATTTGCCCACGCCTAGTTGCAGATACAATTCTTCTTTCAGTTCGCCATTAAGGAAAGCACTCTTCACATCCATTTGATGGACCTTAATGTTCTTATGAGCTGCATATGCTAGAAAAATATGTATGGATTCCATCCTTGCAAGTAGCACATATGTTTCATTATAGTCAACACCCTCTAGTTGATTGTAATCTTTTGTGACCAAGCAATCCTTGTTACGAACCACTGCACTGGATTCATCTAACTTGTTCTTTTAAACCCACCTAGTTCTTACTGCAGTGTGGCCTTTAGGATTTGGTACCAACTTCCAAAACTGATTTCTTTCAAACTCAACTAATTCTTCTTGCATTGCTATTATCCATTCAGGCTCCAAAACAGCTCTTTTGCAGTTTTTTGTTCGATCGAAGGCACGAAAGCTGCATAAAGACAATTATTTGTTAAGTCTTTAGAGGAACGAGTTTCAATACCTATAGATGGATTCCCGATGATCTGGCCTGTTAGGTGATCTTTCGTCGAGATACCTAGAAGAGACTGATGATGATCTGTAGCTACACTTGAGGGAATATCCTCTACTTTAGAGGATTTAGGGTCTATCTGGTGAAGGTTGTTCCCCCTCGGTTTGTAACCATCCCGCAAATGAGTCACAAACTATTGGGATTGGTTCTGTAATTGGTGATGGAAGTTCCCCAAGGACTAAAGATGGGAATTCCCCCTGAACCGATGATGGGAGTTCCCCCTGGACCGATGAGTGATTTATTATCCATGGATCCACTTCAGTATTAATATTTTCAACTTTTTCATCCTCGGAGTCTTTAGAAATGTTTGATTGATTGGCCATTTTATGGATAGGTACCAGAGTAGCATCTTCAAGTACTAGAACCTTGATGGTTAGGACTTCCAAAGGATTTGAGCTTTCCCCCTCAACCAGCGAGGTGGAAGTATTGAAAGAATTCCTTCTGAAAACATTGTTCTAGATACTTTTAATTGTTGCTGTTATGCTACCTAAGATACCAATATATCTAAAATATGGGCAGACTCTGCAGGATCAAAGAGGTCATCATAGTTAACTTTAACTATGTTTAATGGACCTGAACACGTTGGGATATCACTCTCCAGGATGAACTTTGTTTCTATAAGTGGAGCAGGGTTGCGGACATAGTAGTCATCGAATTTGACATCGAAACTTTCAACTATTAGTCTTGTTCGCCTTGTAAGAACCCTATATGCAACCTTGTTTGTTGAGAAACCCAGGAAGATGCCTTCATCAGATTTCGGTGCAAACTTGTTGAGATAATCCTTGTTGTTGACCACAAAACACCTGCAACCAAAATATGAAAGAAACTTATGTTGGGTTTTCGATTTGTTTAGACCTTCATAAGGAGTCTTTTTGAGGTGTTCATAGATGATACTTTGATTTTGAACAAAACAAGCAGTTATCACTGCTTCAACCCAAAAGTAGAGAGGTAATTTGGTAAAGTTGAGCATCGATCTAGCAGCTTCGACTATCATTCTATTTCTCCTCTCCACTACTCCATTTTCTTGTGGTGTGTAAGGTGCCCATAAGTTGTAGCTAATTCCCTTATATGCCAAAAAGCTATTTAAGATCTGATTAGTAAACTCAGTGTCATTACCACTTTTCTTATCCGTATGACAGGCAGTTTAATTTGTAGCTCTATCTCCTTCTTGAAGTCAATGAAGATTTGCGATGTATCTGACTTTAGGATCAGAAAGAAGACCCAAGTGAAACAAGTGAAGTCATATGTAGTTTGTATAGATCAAGTAAATGAAATGAAATTAAAGTTTTAATTAAATCAAGAACACAAGACTAAATACAATCTTGATAGCTCAATTAAACTTCTAAAGGTTACAATAGTGAATAGGATAAGAAAACGAAATGATCAAAAGTACCTCTATCTCTAGAACCTATCCCTATTTATAGGAGTTACAAAAGTTTAAAAAAAAATACATAAGGGCTAAATCTAATAAGATTTGACATACAAAAGTTCCCCTATGAAATACCTATAATGAAAGTTGAAATACAGACTTTGACACTAAGACGGACACATGACACTTCGAAGCCTCACAATACAATTCAACCTCAACATTCTACCCCTTTATGAGAAGTTTCGAGTCCTAAGAATTAGCATTTTCGTTGCCTGATGAAGAACTCTTCTAATATCCATGTACCAAATGATTGTTCTGCGAACCTCGGCTTTATCTCCTTCAGTATTCCTCTTGCAATTATTGATACAAACCAGTAGATTCATATACTAAGATTTAGTGTATCTTTCATCATCCTCAACCCTGAACAAAAACTTAGTATTCTTGTTGTTTTTATTCTTCCCAACAAAAACTATTCCCAATGGTTTAACACAAATTTCACCATCATCAAAATCCTTCAAGCTTCCCACACCTTTCAACAAAGAGTTTGGCACAGTAATTTGTTTTCCCATTACCAAATCCAAATCCACATACATTAAGGCAAGACAATCATATTAAGTGTCAATGAAAAGCTTTATATGTGCAAACACAAGCAATAAATCTTCTTTTCTAGTCACCTGAAGTTTCGAAGCATCAACCCCACTTAAAATTTGTGCCACACAGATAAGATCATTAATATTCATCAAGAGAAAATCAGCCACTATGAATTCACAGGCCATATAATTTGCACAAACTATGTGAAAACGAATGTTCAGCAATATCCCTTCGAATAGTTGATCTTGGTTATGCCCAACACATTGACAATTTTTACTAATGACCAAATCTCTTCTTCTTTCTTTCCAAGAACTGCATGAAACCTCATTTTTAGCTTATTGTACTCTTCTTTATATTCAAATTTATCTAGTAATTGATACTGAGTTAATATGAACATCTTATGGTTGATAGAAAATCCAGTTGATTGAAATTTGAATTTCTATCTCATAGCTCTTCTTTGGAATTTTCAGAAAATCATACGTGTTACCAAGTGAAACAATCTGTTCGATTGATTCATAATAGTACGGTTTGGTTCGAAAAACCTTCTCAAGACCAAGAGTATCTACTTGCCTTTGTCTTAGAATATTCTAAATCGACCATTGTCTTTTGATTTCCTTTCCTTTTCCAAGGCAATCTTCTTCTCTTCTTTAGTTGGATGAGTGTTGATACCCTTCCTTTTTCGTTCCATTTCTTTCCTTGATGAATGTGGCTTCGAACTTGATCCACTAGCAGATGAACCAATAGTAATTCCTTTGGTAAAAGGCTTCAAAGTCATGGTAGTTGAGGTAGTTAACATTGAAGTTGGAAGCGAAGTAGGAAGTTGTGTACTCATAACTTTCCCTACAACCTTTTCTTGAGAATGATCTTTTGATGAACCGGTATCAACACCTTTTGAAACACCAGAACCACCACCTTTTTCTCCGCCTTTCACCCCTATTTTAACAGGTGGGGCATTAGAAGGCATCAAATTAACCAACTTCAAAAGAGGAGCTAGATCAACCCTCAGGTTTAACTCCAACAAAGAGAACATTTCAGAAAATGATTCTCGTGAAACCGAAGATGAAGGAGAAACATTAATTTTTTAAATTAACTCATTCACATTCCCCGATACCTCTTCCAGTTTAAAAAAAAATGCTTAGAATCAGACTTAAACTTCAAATCGACATTGGTGAGAAGATAATTATAGAACTCAATAATCTTCATAACAGCTTCAACAACTATATCAATCTTAGTATGAAGATTGGAATAGTTCTGATCAACTTTAAGAACCTCCTTGGTCATCTCAGAATGAAGTTCCTTAGTTTTGAAATTAACATCCTCTTGCACTCTCTTAGCTGCTCCGATAAATACAAGATGTCGTTCGTTAGCAATTGTCCTCAAATCTTTAACCTAATGTTTAAAAGAATCAGATTGTCGCTTCAAAAGCTCTTCATTCTTCATATCAATCTGATCCAAGATGGTTTTCAGATGAAGTTCTTGGGATTTTAACAAAATATCGACTTCAATCTTGGACTCATTGTTTCGACTGCCATAATCAACTTGAATCTAAACCAAAGAGTTCAATATCGACTCAAGATTTTGAATTGTTTTCCAGACATCAACATGTGGTCTGGAATATTCTCTTCCTCAGGATCGAACTGAATATCACCAAACGAGACCATGTAATCATCATCATCTTGTTCAACCTCCGACGTAGACTTCGGACCATCGATGGATTGAGAAGAAAATAAAGAAGTGATAGGTTGATCTAGTACATGAGCATATGTAGGTGAAATAGTAGAAGTAGATAAAGATGTTGGAAAGGGTGAGTTAAATGGTGGTAATGAAGTGGAGGTATCAATAATAGTGGCTTCAAACGTAGATGAAGAAATAATGGAAACATGAATAGATGAAGTAGAGACATTTGAAATACCTTGGACTTCGGCATTCGACATCCCATCACCCATGTTGACATTTGTGTCCATATTAGATATCTTCATAGGGACGCCCGAAGTTCGAACCTCCTCAGAAACTGATTCGGACATCGACACTTCTGAAGGTATGACTTGTGGCTGCTTAGGGATGGATAGATTAGAAGGATCACCCAAATTAGTGGTCGTGTCCACATTAGATGTTTCCACATTGCCACCATGATTTCCAGTCACCTCGATATTTGACTTGACAGGAGAATCCCTCTGAGGTGATGTGAAGCCCACGTCTTCTATTTGAAGTGGAGATCGAGTACCCCCGTCTTCGAAATCAATCTCAACCATGACTTCGTTAAGATATACTTCTAACTTCTTGTGCTTCTTCTTGAGTTTCTTTACCAAGAGATGCAACAAGTTTATATCGATACGCATTAAGCAAGTAGACACTAAGATGAATCATAACTTGGTTTGCATGCAAACACAACTTAGAATATGATGAACAACATAAGCAAAGAGGGACTCGATATAAGTATCAGTAAGATAACTTGAGATATAAAGATGAAAGATCTTATATTGATAAGCTTTAAATTGGTAAGTAAACATGAAGTGGGAAGATCTACTTATAGAGTCCCAAAAGGTTACACGAAAATAATAAACTAATACAAAGTAGTTGACTTCGGAGACCCTGTATGGTACATCGGATAATACTACGATTACAAGCAAAGTCAGTAAAGGTAACTGGTGACAGTCTTCATGTTACGTTTATCTGCGGGTCTTCGTCACGTCTTCAGATTCACTTGATGACATAAAATAGTCTCTGGGTAAGTCTGCTCAGGTTCACAAGGCATTGAGGTATTCAGGTCCATCTTAGCTGAAGAGGGCTCCTTTCTTGTTTCAACATCCTTGATGGGCCTTTAATGTTAAATGAAGTGGTAGATCAGTATAAAAAATTAAAAAACTAATGATTTTTAAAAATGACTTTGAAAAAGCATATATTCCCTGTGTTGGATATATTCAGATTATATGATGGATTTGATGGGCTTTGATGAAAAGTGGAAAGGCTGGATTTCTATGTGTTTCTCATCTTTCTAGAGTTTTAGTTTTGGTTAACGGGAGTCCAAAACTAGAGTTCTAATTATATCGAGGGCTTAGACATGGAGCTCCTTTATCTCTGCTCTTTTTATTTTAGCCATGGAAGGCCTACATCTAGTTGTTGATGATAAGAATGGAGAAGAGAAAAAAAATGAATCAAAGGAAAACTCAATTCATTTCATCAGCGAAGCTGAAAATGAGTCTTCATGCTCAAGCAATTAAGCTGATTACACAAAATGATCTAAAATCTCCTGATGACCACACCTCCCCACCCTACTGACATATATAGATTTATTCTAACAGACTCCCATGACTAAAAGAATTATTCCCTGCCACGTGGCCTGATTCTCCTTTGATATACTAGAAAAGGTTTGGACCCAATGGGTTGCTCCACCATATTGGACCCATCCACTTGTTCCTTATCAATACTTGCCTCTTGAAGTACAGGCTTTTCCTCAAGCTTGAAGGTGGGAAATTATGTTTGAAAGTTGATGTCATCCTCCCATGTCGAATCTTCACTTGAATATTCAGTCCATTTTATAAGCCATTGTTCAACCTGACTTCCTTCTTTGGTAACCATGCATTTTGCCAGACAATGCAGAGGATGTTTTTCAGCATCATTGCCCCCCATTAGCCCTGGTGGTAATTCTGGCTCAACGATAGCTATCCCCATTGCCTTTTTTAGTAATGATACATGGAACACTGGGTGAATATAGGCTGTTTTGGGTAATTGTAACTTGTAAGCAACTGATCCAACTCGTGTGATAATGGGGAAGGGTCTATAAAATCCATGAAAGTTTCTGATTGATTCTTCTAATGACTGATTGTTGTCTGTGGGGGGTGTAGTTTAAGGAACACCTAGTCTGCCACTTTGTTTTCGACGTCACATCGATGCTTATCGGCTGAAATTTTCATTTGGGGTTGGGCTTGTGACAGATGGTACGTAAGTTGTTTAAGGGCTTCTTCCCGATCCTGTAACTCTTGTTGGACAGCCTCACATTTAATTTCACCCAGAGCATAATGAAAGATTGTAGGAGGAGGGCGTTCATATGTAATTTCAAAGGGAGTGGTGTTGGTAGATGAATTTTGGTTTGTTTTATACAATAACTCAGCCCAAGGGACCCAATAATCCTATGTCTTGGGTTGGTCAGCAGCAAAGCAACGTAAGTTAGTTTCGAGGCTACGTTTGACTACCTCAGTTTGCCCGTCCGTCTCGAGATGATAAGCTGAACTGAACTTCAAATTACTTCCTTGCATTTTAAATATTTCCTACCAGAACTTGCTAAGAAATAAAGGGTCACGATCACTGAGTATTGACTTAGGAATTCCATGAAGGCGTATCACCTCTTTGAGATATAAATCAGCCAATAAACGCGCTATATAGGTATGCTTGAGGGGGATAAAGTGATTGTATTTGGACAGTCGGTCCACCACCACCAGGATAGCCTCAAACCCCTTAGACTTGGGTAAGCCGATAATGAAATCAAGAGAGATGTCCTCCAAGATAGCAGTGGGTATGGGAAGGAGTTTTAGGAGATCCATAGGAGCCAAGTTAGAAAACTTGTAGCGCTGGCAGGTGTCACATTCCTGGACAAAGCGTTTCACAAAGTCCGTCATCCCAAACCAATAAATGTTAGCATAAATTTTCTTGTATGTGAGATAGTATCCCGAATGGCCCCACCATGGGCCGCAATGGAAATGTTTTAAAAGTCGTGCTATCCACTGAGAGGTAGCTAGAATTACCAATTTCTTTTTTTAATACAACCTCCCGTTATGAAAGGAGAATTTAGGATAAGAAAGTGGGTTGAGAGTAAGGCTATGGATGTCTTATTGGAGTTTGGGTTCTGAATCATATCCTTCCAGTAATTGATCCCCGTCAAGCCATTGTGGGGTGGATATCAAGCATAGCAATTCAGTTACTTCATACATGCGTGAGAGTGTATCAACTACTCTATTCTCGCACCCAAGTTTATATTGAATGGAGAAATGGTAGCCCATCAGCTTTGTTAGCCAATTTTGTTGGTCCAGGGTGGTAATCGGTTGCTCAAGCAAGTGTTTAAGACCCTTTGATCGGTGAAAATAGTAAAGGGTTGACCAAGGAGGTAGGGTCTCCAGTGTTGTATTGATAACGCTATGGCCATGATTTTTTTTCATAGGCAGACTTGGCGAGTGTCTTGTTAGATAATGACTTGTTATAAAAGGCTATTGGGCGTTTTTCTTGCATGAGCACATCTCCTAGACCTCGTCCTGAAGCATCACATTCAATTTGAAATGGTTTAAGAAAATTTGGAAGAGCAAGAATTGGGGTGGAAGTCATACAGGTTTTCAAGGTTTGGATGGTGGTTTGAGCTTCAGGTCCACAACTAAAATTATACTTTTTAGTAAGTGTTGTGAGTAGTTGCGCCAATTTGCCATAGCCCCCGGTGAATCTACAATAATACTCGAAGGCCAAGAAATCCTTGGACACCGTTAACCTTTGTTGGAACAGGCCATTCCAGGATGAAATTTATTTTGTTGGGGTCCATTGACACGCCTTGTTTGTTGATGATATGGCCGAGGTATTCCACCGATTCCAAGCCGAAATGACTTTTCTTTTGGTTTAAAACTGTCTTATGGTCCTTCTATAAGGATAAAACTCGTGATAAGAGTTTGAGATGGGTGGTCCAGGATGGGCTGTAGACAAGAATGTCATAGAAAAACAAGGACTCCCCGTCGAAGAAGAGGGCAGAAGATATCATTCATTAGTTCTTGGAACGTGGCAGGGGTATCCGTGAGGCCGAAGGGCATCACAAGGAATTCAAAATGCCCATCATGTGTACGGAATGTAGTCTTCACTATATCCTCGTCATGTACGCGAACTTGATAGAATCCAAACTTAAGGTCAATCTTGGAAAAATAATGGGAGCCATGTAATTCAACAAGAAGTTCCTCAACAACTAGTACTGGATACTTATCAGGAATAGTGACCCAATTAAGGCCTCTATAATCAGACGCATAGGCGCCAAGAATCATCTTTCTTTTTTACCAGAAT